GAGAAAAAAAAAATGCATGGACCGGTTAAATTCATATTTGACTTTTATATCTAGTGTCACAATTTTTTATCATATAACTCATGTAAAGTGGTATGCTTTCCCATTTTCGGATAAAGGTGTTATGTTTTCCGCTTGAAAGATGAAACCAATAGTAATCTACTTTTTAATGTCATTATTCTTCACTCGCTAGTGAAGTTCAATCAGTCAAGGGTGAACTTTTTTTATACTGATTTCAAGATTTTGAAGTTTTGTTACAATACATAGCACCATTCTTCCCATAGTATCTTTCTTCCTACAGTTGGAGTGATTATTGCCAGCAGTTGAAATGAACAAAATAAAAGACTACATATCCTGCTCAATTTCGCTTCGAAAATGTTTCTTACTCACAAATGCTTCTTCCTGAAAAAAATGAGGATTATTGTTCTTCTCTGCCTTACAGTCTACTTCAATTCTCTTTGGTCCCTGACAAAAGCATCTTACCTTGCCTATTTTCTTTGCTAAACCAGTTTTTCTATGGATTTTGTTTGCTTCTGGCTTTATAGCACTTATGCTGGTGTGATGCCTTTTGGCAATTATATTCTATGGTCATCTCCAACCAAGCTGTATACCTTCATATGTCGTCCGTCATTCACTGCATTCGAATTCTAAATCTCACGCCAAAATTTTGTATCTGAAATTCGACGTCAATATTTGTGTTGCACTGTTCACCTACGAAAAAAAATTGGATTTCCAAAGACGAGCGCGAAAGAGAAAAAAAAGCGGGCGAAAGAGAAGACTGATTGTTACCTTCGCATGAAGCGCGCGGAAGAAGAAAAAAATACAGTTCGATTGGAAATGAATTACAACAGTTATATTTTAGAGTGGAAAATGAGTTTTTCAGTTGGAGATGCCCTAAGAAGTTGTGCTTTAAAATATGATTTTGCTGTCTGGTTACAACAACAACATCAAATTTTTATCCTATTACGTGTAATTTTGTTGTCTGATTTATTTTTGAGCTCTCAACAATGAATCCAGCAAAAATTTAATTTTGTTGTTTGTCTTCATATCCTACACCAATTCGTATTGGTCTTAAAGTTGGAAGGAGCCGATAGCCAATTTTCAGAAGGGTTCTACTGACTTACATTCCATTGCAGACATGTATATCATGTTTTTTTTATAAGCAATTTTTGTCATGTGCATTGTACAATTACTAAGAAAAATTTAGAAATTTCATAAGCTATATGACTTGCAAAAATACTAGTTATTACATTTAACAGGGATAACATGTATTCATTTACATTTATCATCACATAATTTAAATGAATAAAGCTTATGCAATAATTAATTATGTTTACGTTGGCTCTATATAGATGCTAATTATATCATCACGAATAATAAATGAAATTTAACATAGAACTGTCAACTTAAAATTTCTAAGATCTTTATACAAATATGATGAGGCCAATGGAGTAACCTATAGAATTGTGAAATTAATTAAGGCTCTATTAATCCCTAGTAATGCTTAGGTTTTCTTTGATACAAAAAAATTATAAGGTCTTCACTTAATATATGCAAGTATAGATGCTGAATCAAGTAATACAGTGATAGAGTAAAGTATCGATCTCACGATGAAGATGTACTCACTTACAAATACTAATGTTTTCTACTTACTAAAATTACAAAAATTATCATACTCAATAAAAATAAAGGTTGTGGAGATTCAATCACTTAATTAAAACAAGATAAAATAATGAATACATTGTAAAAATATAATGTTTTGGCTTAATGAATGTAAATAATATGTTTTTCCTAATGATTATAATTTAATTATGATGTTATTTAGAGCATATGCATCCCGAGATCCCTTTCGAGCTTTTAGGGACAAAGGATGTCTATCAAATTCCTATGTTTATATCATATTTTTAAAAAATTAGTATATTTCATACCCTATATGCTTAGGCATGACGCATACTAATTCAATATTCCTAGTTAGGTTTGGTTCCTTCTATCGAGGCCCCACATTACACATAATTTTAACTACACATATGACCACGATATGCACCAAATGAAGATATGATAATATTGAAAATATTTGTTTAATCATTTAAGAAATAAGAGAATAAATTAGTACTACACACGATACTTACATCATCAATAAAAAAAATAGAATTTAGTCATACATAGACGTAGAATTGAAGCAAACTCATTTTCATTGATAGCATGATAGAAAGAAAATATAAGAAATATATATCACAAGAATAGTTCAATGGATCTCATGTACACTACTTCTCTTTACTTATAGATTTGCTTCCACAAACACAAGACAAACACTATAATAATAATATTAAGTACTTCCTATATTTTCTTAGTTGTCACCATAAGGGAGTTTCATAGAAGCACTCTGAATTGGATTGAAATTATATAAATGACTGAACTCTCTTACAAACATAACACAATGACTATTTATAGGAAAACACAAAATAGTCCTTTGGCGCTGCGGCGCTAGAAAGATCTATGTCGTTACGCCCAATCAATGAACTAATTTTGTTGCGTTGTTTTTCTGGTGCCGCTGCGGCACTTGCTAACATGAATCAGCTACTTAGTAAATAGCGCGCCACTTCGCTGACAGTTCATGTCCTTGGAAAGTATGCTGGGGCGCTGCTGACTTTCGGACGCAACGACGCCAAGAAGGTACTTTTGACGCTGAGGCGTCTTTGATTATGACGCAGCCATGCTGGACAACATAGAACTTGGCACTGTGATCTTGATATTTGATCGCTGCGATGCTGCTCGAAGAAAAATCAACACTAAAATGCTGATATTCTGGCGCTCTAATGGTGTCTTTGAAGGCACTAAGCGTTATTTGTTCTGATGCCACGACGCTATATCAAACTTAGAATTTTAAGCATTTTCTATATTTTTCCTGTACAATAGAATTAAAACAATATATTTTCACTGAAAATATATTACATTATTTGTATTTATCGAAATAACAATGGCATAATCCCTTACAAAGAATGCTATGTTTATCCCAAAATAAATAACAGTTACTCAAAGCTACGAGGGCAACAACTCCAAGGTCCTACAAGAAGTGAAGCAAAAAATATTATTAATTAAGCACGCACTTTGAAACATAATGGTGAATATCCTAATAAATCTTTAGTCACACCAAAACACCAAATCAATTATCAAATAAAGCGGTCTAACATATGACATAACAAGACACCTTATAGAGACCAAATTAAAAGAATACGTACTCCATAAATAATGTTAGATTAATAATACACCTAAAAGATATAAAATAATATAGAGTTTTTTATCAAATCGAACATCAAACACAAATGAGACCTCCTCCCAAAGCAACTTAAAACGCATCATAATAATATGTAAAGGCAACAACAATCAAACCTAGCCAAAAAAAAAAAACATTACAAAACAGAACATTTATTTCAACACCTTGAGAACAAAGAGGAAGAAAGGAGGAAGGAGAGGAGAAAGGGAAAAGCTTTAATTCACTATTTGAAGGGCTTGGTGTAGGTGGTTGTTGACAGAAGAGGAAGAAAATAAAAGAAACAAGGGTTTGGCGGTTGCTATAGGGAGGAAGATTTAGATATAAGCGATGTCCTAACCCTCAATCCTTCTTAAATAGAGAAGAGAAGACGGGAGAGCGGGAAAATTAATGTAGGTCTGATGAATTCTGTGATTTTTGCGAATTGAGTGAGAGACAAAAGCGAGCGAGGGCGTTCGGCTGGTTTGTGGTTCGAACGAAGGAAAACAGCAACTCGTGCAATCAACAAGTCATGCAAAAAAAATGCCTGGACCGGTTAAATCCATATTTGACTTTTATATCTAGTGTCACAATTTTTTATCATGTAACTCATGTAAAGTGGTATGTTTCCCATTTTGTTTTCCGCTTGAAAGATGAAATTACCAATAATAATCTACTTTTTAATGTCATTATTCTTAACTCGCTAGTGAAGTTCAATCAGTCAAGGTTGAACTTTTTTTATACTGATTTCAAGATTTTGAAGTTTTGTTACAATACATAGCACCATTCTTCCCATAATATTTTTCTTCCTACAGTTGGAGTGATTATTGCTAGCAGTTGAAACGAAAAAAATAAAAGACTACATATCCTGCTCAATTCCACTTCGAAAATGTTTCTTACTCACAAATGCTTCTTCCTGAAAAAAATGAGGATTATTGTTCTTCTCTGCCTTACATTCTACTTCAATTCTCTTTGGTCCCTGACAAAAGCATCTTACCTTGCCTATTTTCTTTGCTAAACCAGTTTTTCTATGGATTTTGTTTGCTTCTGGCTTTCTAGCACTTATGCTGGTGTGATGCCTTTTGGCAATTATATTCTATGGTCATCTCCAACCAAGCTGTATAACTCATATGTCGTCCGTCATTCACTGTATTCGAATTCTAAATCTCATGCCAAAATCCAGTATCTGAAATCAGACGTCAATATTTGTGTCGCACTGTTCACCTACGACAAAAAATTGAGTTTCCAAAGACGAACGCGAAAGAGAAAAAAAGCGGGCGAAAGAGAAGAGAGATTGTTACATTCGCATGAAGCGCGTGAAAGAAGAAAAAAATACAGTTCAATTGGAGATGAATTACAGCCGTTACATTTTAGAGTGGGAAATGAGTTTTTCAATTGGAGATGCTCTAAGATGTTGTGCTTTAAAATATGATTTTGCTGTATGGTTACAAGAACAACATCAAATTTTTATCCTATTACGTGTAATTTTGTTGTCTGATTTATTTTTGAGCTCTCAACATGAATCCAGCAAAAATTAAATTTTGTTGTTTGTCTTCATATCCGATTGTGCAGTACAAGCATCTCAGCCATCCATTGCTGCTACAGTTGGTTCTGCTGGGTTGACCATCTGATTTTGTTTATTTTCCCGTGAGTTTTTATTTCTTTACCCCCCCAATTAGTCCTCCCAATGCAAAAATCTAAGGTCTTTAATATTAAAAAAACAAGAACTGAGAACGAGATCGACAGGTGGTGTAGAGGAAGAGTAAAAGAGAGGGCGCACGCACTTTCTCCTGTCGCACTCATCCTCTTAATACCATCTCGAAACAGTGGCCTCATTCCTCCCAGATCAGAAAAAGCTCCAAAAATCACTCCTTTTTTTCCGGCAACTGAAATCACCAATGTCCGGCCACTGACCACTGCGACCATCGCAAGGTTTCAAAATCTAACGCTCAATGGATCTATTCCCAGCTCCAATCTCCATTTCCTCTACTCTCTGCAACGCCGAGATTTCCGCCTCCTCGCACGCCATCACAGGTGGCGAAAGCTCCACAAAAGAATGGACAACTGAAATCAACACAATCGCCAATCACACCCCGCTCCCTCTGCTCTTCGCCGCTGAGAAAGAGTACTTACTCAGCTCCGACTATCTTCACCGCTCCCACGACTGCATTGCTCGCCGGGACTCCATCAACTGGATGCTCAAGGCATTCCTTATCCCACTAAAAATCGAATTTTTCATAGATTTAAACTGGAAAGCTTTCTTGTCCCAATACTTTCTGGATCCTAATAACTTTGTCCGTACTACTCTGTTTCTCTCAAGCAGGTGATCGAATTCTATAAGTTTAATCCAGTCACCGCCTACCGCTCCGTTGACTACCTCGACCGCTTCCTCTCAGCCAATTCTCTTCCGGTAGTTGTGCATCCAACCATCGACATATCATGTCCCCTTCTTTGATTTGATTATTTATGTGATCTGATTTGTGTTCTTCCGAGTTAAATGAAGGTAACCGAGGGGAAAAATGGAAAGAAACAATCCGGCGGCGGATGGCCGAAGCAACTATTATCTGTAGCTTGCCTCTCAATTGCGGCCAAGATGGAGGAGACTCACGTGCCCGTGCTTCTCGATCTCCAGATTTTGGACTCAAAGTATGTGTTTGAACCCAGAACCATCTGCCGCATGGAGCTGCTCATCCTGACGGTGCTTACATGGCGAATGCGTGCCGTCACGCCGTTTGATTTCCTTCCTTACTTAGCAGCTTCCGTTCTTCCCGTCGACTCCACTGCAATTTTGTCCAGGGCCACCAATCTCATTATCAGTTCCCGCCGTGGTAAATATTCAATCTTTTACCTCGTTTCGATGCTTTTGTTAGATTTTACTACCTGTCGCTTCATTTGACAATCTTTAGATTCCTTGGAAGCAGTTGTGGATTTCCTCAGATTCCGGCCGTCCACCATTGCCGCGGCGGCGATGCTGTGTGCTTCTGTGAAAATCGCCGCTCCTTCGGCCTCTGACAACGCCGTTTGTTTCAGCTACTTCAGCGAGTGGAACAACAAGGTAATTTCCGACGACAATCGCCTATTAAAAAATGATTTTTTTTCAATAACCTCCCAAGGCGGATTTTTGGGGCAAAAACCGACAAAGATTTCAATTTTATATTATTTTCTCAAACGGCTCGTATTTTTTGGATGCAGGACGTGGTGGGGGAGTGTCGGCAGCTGATGGAAGAATATCTCATCGACGCGTGTCCATCTGAGTCACCCCCCTCACATAGCCCCGTCGGCACTGTCACCGCCGCGGCGCGCATCAGCTGCAACGTCGAGAAGTCTTCCGCCGGGGTCGTCAAAGCCGAACCTCCGTCGCTCAAGCGTCGGCGACTGGTCGACGGCGAGTGTGGTTGATGTTCCCAAAATACTTTTCAGATGAGTTTGAAGATATGAAAGCGGCACCTTCTCTGCTGTTGTACTTCGCGACTCAGTTACTAAGTTAGTACAATTTATCCACCCGGAGTTTTGTTCTCATCTATCGTTTTAAATAAATTCTTTAATGAGTGAAGGCTAATCATGTATATAATTATTCCATGCAATCGGGAGAGGAATCAGAGCACAACACATCTCTCATTTATCGTGTACTGCAACTGTATCTGATATGTACTAGGTGACGTGACATGCTCTGATTTGCCTCTGGACAATCTAATATCCATGCATAATAATTTCTCATAGTTAGACTGTCCGAGCTTTATGGTTTAAATAATCGGGCTAGAATTGCTATCTTCCATTACCATAGTTGCTCCATATTCTTTACATAGGGAGATAGAAGTTGTTCCAATTTCCTTTACTATTGTTTGTTCTATTATATATTAAATTTGTCTTTCCACTTCTTCCACCCCAAAAATTTTTATCACAAGACAAAATCCTTCACTCCACTCAAGAATTGTCCTCAGCCACAAAAAAATGGTGTAAATTTTCTTATTCTTGTACAAGCATAAAATAAAAATGTCAATTTAATGAACATTTTTATCACATATAAAGAAATTCTAAGAATTTTATGATCATCTCAGTACTACTTCTATATAGGTTATCAGAGTACTACTCTAATTATTTGTTCATAATATTCATTGAAAATACTATATTACTCAATATTTATAGTTTTAACTAACTTAAACTCATAAGATTAGAGCCTAAAATATCTTCATTAGGGTAAGTTGATCATTTATAGCCTACATGTTACCAAATGACTCATAACTCATCTTAAGTGTAAAGTCTTTGTACTAAAGGATGCAACAATTTGCAATTTAAAAGATAGAAAGTCTCAAACATCTCTTAATATAAGACTAGAAATATTCCTCTAGTAAGAATGTAAGAGACTTTTGGGAGCTATCTTCAACTTCAATATTGTTCTTCTGAGATCTACTAAGTTATTATTATGTAAATTTTGTAATTTCATCGATGATCTTCTAATTGCACTCTATATTTAATAATCAATAAGTGCTTTTCAATCTCTTTCTTCATGGTGAATATAAGCAATAAAATTGAATTACTGAAATTCTAATATTTTTTGTGTTCTTACTGTAGCTATTTATTTCCCAATCTAAACTTAAAAAGTAGCTCTAGTTATAATTCCTATTTCTCTTACTATGTTGGTTTCGGTTTCTCCTTTGAAGGATGACAAGATTGTGGCGCCTAATCCTAATATTTGTGAGGTTGATGAACCTCACAATTGCTTAACTAATATGGTAGTTTGTACTAGTGATATTCTTGTTCCTATTGGAGACATAAATGAGGGTGTTTTTCCTCTGTCTGCTGATTCTAGAGATGTCTCTCCTACGGGTAATGGGTCAAGGGGTGATCGTTTTTCGGAGGGCTGGATTCTTTTTATGCTTGGTGTATTTGGGTGGAGTCTGATGGTGTTAGGGGACATTTGGTGGATATTCCTCTAACTGTTGCCTTTAGTATTAGCTTGTTGGCTCATCTTGCCAGTGGTAGCACTTTGGAGCAATGTGATTGATTAGATCTTAATGAGGATTTTTATTCAGACAGTGAGGAGGAGACGAATGAGTTAGCTATCTGTGCTCTTCTAATTGCAGATGATGACTTTCTTAAAAAGAATGGTAGTCTAGAAATAGTAAGGCCAAAAAGAAATGATTTTTCCTGTGGGTTTTTGACTGGCTTTGGCTTTGTTGGTTATTTTGGATTTGCTTTAAGTGTGGCACAGATTTGGGGTATGGACAATGATGAAGCAGGTTTTTTGCATGAGTCCGCTAGACCAAGCGACTGCGCAAATTTGGACTTCGGAGTTCGAACGGAGTCCGGGTCTGGCAGTCCGCGGGACCGCACCGCACGTCCCGAACGGAGTCCGCGGGACCGAGCGACGCAGCACAAGCGTGCGGACGGAGTCCGCGGGAAGTCGCAGCAGCGGGCGACGGCGCGAGCAAGAGACCGCGCGAGCATGACGACGTCTCGAGTGCGAGCGGAAATCAGGATGGACTCGATTTTCGGGTCAGTATCGGGTTGATTTCGGGTTTTCGGGTCAACCCGAACCCAACCCGTTTTTGAAATGGGTCAAAAAATCTTAATCCGAACTCGACCCGTTTGCTAAACGGGTCAATCCGAACCCGAATTTTTCCGGATCGGGTCAAAAATTGACACCCCTAACTTGAAGCAATACAACGTATTTCTTAAGTCAAGAAAATTCTAAAAATAATATGACCTAGCATATGGGGTCGCATTTTAATGAAACTTAGTATCAATCTTAAGGTAATCTCTCTTATATGGAGGAACACTAACGGAAAATAAGTGATTTGTGATAGATTTGTGATGAGCTTTGGGACGGAATAATTCTATGACAAAAGTGCGGCAGATATTTTCGTTGCAAATTTTGTGACGGTATTGCGGCGGATTTACAGCGGAGAATCCATCACAAATAAATTTATCTAAACCGGCCCAAACCCTTATTTCATTCGCTCATTCATTCTATATTTGCTCCGTGCTTGTGTCTTCAATTTCAATTCCCTCGCCTCTCCTCGCCATGCTCTCCTTCGACGACGTACTCTCACGGTCGCCTCCTTCGACGACGTTCGAAGAATGTTATCTTACCTCCTTCGTCAGTTCCAGTCACTTCCTTCGGCAACGTTCCTTCAACGTTCATTCGACGAACGTTTCTTCGACTCCTAGTCGTTGCCTGACCTCCGATTTGCTGGACGTCGTCTCCTTCCACGACATTCTTCCTTTAGCAACCGATCCCTTCTGTAAACCAAGGTAATCTTACTTCATTAGAGTAGTCTATTGTCCATAGTTTAGGGTTAATTATTCATAGTTTAGAATTTTTTATGTGATGAAACCTATAATACTTCATGTGTAGAATGTTGGCCATTAAAGGAGAAGCCCAAAAATTAGTTTAAGGGTCTATTTGGCAATAGGATTTATGCCCGATTTGAGCAGGATCTATGGCGCCGTTGAAAGTTATGGCGAAATAAATCCTCCGTCTCATCATTGGTAAATTGTAACGGAATATTCCTCACAAATTTGTGGCGGATTGAACGCCGGGAATCTACCGCAAAAAATTTGTGATGGATTCACTCCATTGCAAATAAGTTTGCGCCACGCATTTTACCATCGGATGCCAATCCGTCATTAATCCGCCACAAACTAGTATTTGTGATGGATTTGAAGAGATTTGCGGTGGATTTTTCAATGGAAAATAACTGATTTTCATACAGCGTAAGTTTCATAGGCAATTATAAAAAGCAAAATCCTTGAAGATGAAGGCTCAATGATAGAATACATTATTTCTTGCAAACCTCAACCATTACCTCACTCAAAGCATGAAACTAGCTCCTTAAGTGTATAATAGATGACTTTGGAAGTTTCCGAAGTTTGGTCTTGACTCTTGAGGATAAGGTCATTGTGAGGGCGAATTATTACGTCATGTTATCGGACGTCCGGACATCCAATTCAGATGCACCACATCACACAAATACACTAGGATCCGATATATTTTGGTGATGTGGTACATCTGGATTGGTGTCCGGACGAATCCGGACACCGGACGTAATAATTTGCCCATTGTGAGGGGTGAACCGGTGAAGTGATGATGTGAAACTAGTTGTTCATAGTATTTGTTAAATATGATTAATTAGTATCCTAATTAAGCCTAAATAAGCCTTGTAAACCTATAAATATCCCTATTAGGAGAATATGAAAGAAGGAGAAATGTTTAATATACTTTTATATAGTTAATATTGATATATCATCAAAAAATTATTTTGATCGAGCACAAATCTTGAGGCAAAATTAAGTTGGAAACTTCCGAAATTAATTTTGGGACCATCCGAACTACGATTTCAGCAAACTAATAGTCGAACATAACATCTCAAAAATACGAACCCAATTACACCAAATTCGACTCAATTCGAGCTCAAATGGGTTCAAATAGAAGACTATAAGTGCATTTGAAAAGTTTAAAACATATATTGAATGACCAAATGTGACATGCATGTAGGCGAATCGAGTGGCTCGACAAGACAAATCCAACAATGCTAATATTGTCAAATTCTGATATCATTTAGATATTCAAATGTTCAGTTAATAACTTACAATTAAGGGGATCGACATCGACTGTTCATTCAAATCACTCCCAACTTACCCTTGATCTCTCTCATATTTATTAGTCATGTCATTCTCAGAAAATTATAAATAGACCTCTCATTCCTCATTGAAGGGAATGGGAGCAAGGAAGAGAATGAATAGGATAAACTATAGTCCTTTTGCCACCAGACTCCTCGACCACGGTCAGACTTTCGCCCGGTCATCGACCATCGTCGGACTTTTGCCTGGACACTGACTGACACCAGACTTCTGCCCAGCCAACGACTGACGCCGGACTTTCGCCTGACCACTGACTATGGCCGGATTTCCACCCAGCCACCAACTGACGCCTAACTTCCCCCCGACCATCGAACGTCGTCGAATTTCTATCTGATCTCCACTCATCACTAGATTTCAATCTGACGGTTCATTGTTGTAATATGATCGTCCTCAATAGGGTGGATCAGTCATTTGTACTCTATTCAAACACTAGTAAAATCATTTAACTAGGCGTGACCCCGTAGTTTTTTTATTTTCCAGGGTTTTCAACTTAAAAAATCTTGTGTTTTCTGTTTGTGTGTTGAATATACGTACAACACTGAGACCAAAAATTCTAACTCTATCGCCGTGTATATTCTAGCCCGCAACAAATATATTAGTTAATTATTACAATAGTGAATAATATTGATGCAATTTTCTTAAATAAACTTTAAATTATATTCAAGATTGAATAGTGTATTCAATTTGAGTTTAATTCAATTCAGCATTAATATAATTAATTCATATTTAGATCAAATTATTTGATCTTCAACTCGATATTATCCTTTAATGACAGAGAGAGGCCCCTAATTATTTCAGTTGAGGATGATTAGGTCCCTATCTTATTTACTTTTAAACTTTTGCCTAATTATGTTTTACATTGAATTTAATTTATCACAATTTCTTCTTCTTTTTTCTTGATTGCCTAATCCCTGTCAATATTTTATAATATTAGCTTACGCACTAAGTCTTTTTAGAAGATTAAAAAAGCTAAAATAATACACCTTTTTTTGACGTGTTAACTTCTTTTAAAAAATTTACAATTATAATAGCTTTTTATCCCATTAAGTAGGGTCGGCTACG